GTGCTGCTTGTACCCCGGGCCTGGCGGCGGCTATGGCTTCCGCCTCAGCTACGTGGCCAGCGGGCCTCGCCTCTCCATCTCCCAGGTGACGGACCTTCACGGGCCTTCCCTCCTGCGGGACCTGCCTCCGCTGCCTCCCAGGCCCTGAGAGGGTTCCCTGCGCTGCCTCTCACCCCGCCTCCAGGTGACTCCAGGGGGCTCGGCTGCCCGGGCGGGGCTGCAGCAGGGCGATGAGATTCTGGAGGTGAACGGGCGCCCTGTGGACGGAGAGGACGACGTGGACAGGCTCCACCAGCTGGCCGAGGCCGAGCCACCGCTGTGCCTGAAGCTGGGGGTCAGGTCCCCGGGGCCCTGGAGGTGAGGAAGGAGAGACAGAGGGACTATGAGCAGCTGGGGAATGACCAAGCGGAACCAGAGAGGTGGGCAGAGCAGGGGGAAGCAGGGCGGGGGGCACGGAGGGTGGGGCTCTAGGCCATGGTCCGTGGGAAGAGAAGGACCATGGAGAGGTCCCATTCCTGGGCATTCCAGGGCAGAGGGGCTCTGCTGGCCCTTGAGTGACCTTCCCCCTCCCTCCCTGCTCAGGAGTGGGCTGTAGCCTCGGATCTGCCGGAGCGCTCCCCTCCTCGGCCCAGGCCAGGCCAGTAGCTTCCCTGCCTTCCCAGCCCACCTCCCCGAGGAGGCTGTGGTCAGAGGCCTGCGGTGGCCCACCCGCTGCTCCCCTCGGACTCCAGAGGAAGCTGTGCCCCAGGATGAAGCTCTGCCTGCGATGAGAGCTGTGATTTTGCGATTTGTAAAACAAAATACATATTTGGTCTTCAGACGCATTCCTGGCACAGAGCTCCTACAACCCTTGGAATTTCCTTGCAATTAGAGCAACCAAGGGGTCTTTTGTGATCCATAAAGTGCTTCTTGCAACCTAATTTTGTTAATGCGGTGACTTTTGGCAGCCTGTAAGGATGGGGAGGGAATGGTTGCCAGGGTTCCGAACCAATGGGGTTGGAACTTTCTGCCCTATCCCCCTCCTCACCCTCCCTCCTGGGCTCTTGGGAGGGGAGAGGGCTAGAGCATTAATGAACCCCCAGTGATGTCATCAGTCATGCTGCTGTGATGAAGCCTCCATAAAAACCCAAAACACGTGCAGGTGCCCGGAGGGGAGGGGGCGTCCGTGGCCAGGGCAGGCACTCTCGTGCTCACGCCCGCTCCAGGCGTCTCTACCTTCGGGCTGTTTCTGAATTGTACCCTGTATAATAAACTGGTAATCGAGTAAGTAGACTGTTTCCCTGAGTTCTATGAGCCCCTCTAGCAAATGGTAGGGGTTCGTGGGAACCTCTGATGCATAGCCCGTTGGTCAGAAGCGCAGGTGACATCTGTACTTGAGGATGGTGTCTTGTGGAACTGAGTCCTCACCCTGTGTAGAGTGTGTCAGAATTGAGTTAAACTGTAGGACACTGAACTGGTATCCACAGAAGAGGTGGAGAATGTCTTAGTGTGGGAAAGCCCCTCCACGTTTGGTGACTGGAAGTAAAGTTGCACCGAGTGTGTTTTCATAGAAAAGAGAAACAGACTTTTCCCTTGTCGGCGGGTCAGTGGGCCGTGGGGCCTGCTAGAAGCCATCTGGAAGTTGCCCTGGGCAGAACTCCAGAACTCCTGGATGGATTGCAAGAGTTTGGAGACCAGTCACACTGTCCCTCTGTGAGCCCCACAGGACTGCGGGCTGTGCCTGACCACTGCTGGTCTATTACAGAAATGACCTTCCCCCACCATCCTGCCTGCCTGTGTTTGTGTGGGTGAGGGTCTGAGGCTATTGTTCAAAGGGACAAAAGG